AAATTTTTACACTCTTTCCTAAAACTTTTTTTTTATTAATAGGTTAAAACAATGTTTTGATAACCAACTCGAGGTGAAATCTGGCAAAGTTGTCAGGTCCCAAGTTGAATGGTTTGACTGGCCGGTCCAACTGGGTGGTAAAACTTTTAAAATTCAACAAATACACCCTAAAAATTACAAGGAAGTCCCTATAGGTTTGAAATTTAGCAAACACATCCCAAACACAAATCAACTAGAAACTAGTTGGTGACGACGACACCCCAAATGCAATACCAATCATCCCTTGAGCCTATTCTCCTGAAAATCTACCCAATATCTGGCCGAAATCGGTTCAATATCGACCAGATCTCACCGACGTTCGCATTCTAGGCTAGATCTTATTGATGTCGACATCAACAACCCTCTCCATCACCTTGAAAAATACTCCCCTCTTCCTCTTAACCAAAACCCACCTCACCCCACCCCCATTAGCCTCGCCAATTGTCAGTAAAAGCAGGTTGTTGCCACTGCTAGCTTTTTTCGATTTTCGATAGATTCACTCACCAGAAATCAACTCCAACACCACCATTGTACTCACCGGTACTTTCTCTTCAAAAGCCCCAACATCCCGACCTTCAATTGTTCGCTGATCATCATCCCAAATTCTAGGGTTTTGGGTGAATAGGAAAAATGTTAACCTGGCCCAATGAAGCTCTCGGGTCTCAGTTAAACCAGTTAAACTGGCCTGGTCGGGTTTTAAAAAAGTGGGTTGCAACATTAATTTCCCTATGGGTACAATAAAATAAAAATATTCCCTTTGAAATAACCTAAATGTGTAAATTTAAAGTAAAAATATCCCATTGAGATAACAGAATATGTAAATTTTAATGGCTTACTAACAATTCATTAATATAACTCAAGACTAGGGGACGCTTTTAATCATGCGACCCTCTATCCATCTGGTCACAAATGAGTGGTTGAATTTTCGTTATTTGATCGTACTCCAAGGTCTATGTCTTTAATCCATTATATCCATTATTAAATATACACACTATTTAGAAATAAATTAAAATCCAAGGAACAAATAGTATTAGTTGTTGAAATATCTATATTACTAAAATAATATTATGTACAGTTCATCATGATTACTAATTCTATCAAAATCAATATTTTATATAGTCGAATGTGATATATTAAAAATTTAGGGGATATTGTTTTTACTTTTCAAAAGTTTTAGGAATAACGTTTCAATAAGATTATTAGGTTAATTATAGTTGCTAAAATATCTATATTACTAAAATAATATTATGTATTGTTCATTATGATTACTAATTCTATATTACATAACGGAATTATATTGATGGCCTTGAGGTTTGATATAATAAAATAATCTAATTTATGAAACAATAAAAATCCCTTCTATTAAGTTATAGAGGTTAAAATAATAGAATGAGGACAATTTAATAAATATTTATTAATTTATAGGGACTAATTGTTTATTAATAATAAGGGGAATTTTATTATTTTAAAAATCTTAAGAGAATTTCTATAATCATAGTAAACCTCAAAGGAGTTGACTTGATGTCCTTAATTCTTAATGATACTATTGTAATGTTCTACATTAGCATATCCACAACGTGCACTACACGTTAACATACAGTGGCAGACCTAGAATTTTTACCGGTGGGGGCCTCTTCGGCTCCGCTATTGTTTGTCAATCAACTAGTGAAAACTTTTAAAAACCATCAAATCCTGAGTAAAAGAAATAATACAATATCAATAAGCTAAAAAGAAAAAAAAATGCAATAACACAATATTTTCTTACTTGAATAAATCTATAAAAAGCAAAACCTTGATCAAATGTGTAGAAAATAACATTCAATTCACAAGGAAATATAAGAAAATTTTTACGTGGAAAAACTTTTTCAATGTGAAGAGATCAAAAACCCTAAACTCTAAATCTGACCTAATTTGCTTTCAATTCAAATTCTTCTCTTAGCTATTGTTGTTATTGATGTCTTATTAAAATCTGTGATGAAATTGGAAGGGAAGAAGCAAGGGCTGAATGGAAAAATGAATTCAATTATATGCACTTTTAAATTAATGTTTTATATGACTAAGTTCTTTAAAAAATTAAATTGTAAACAATTTTGCTTGCTCTTAACATTAGATTGTCATGGTCAAAGTCCAATGAATAATTCAAATTGAATTATAATCTGATTATTATTTTTAATTATGTCACGTCATTGTCATTAAATAGATTATAGATTTGTAAAAATAGTATAACATAATCATTCGAAATTTACTAAAATCAGGAAAGATAATAATAATTATTAAGTAGATTATTAGTTCATAATTATATAAATTATTAATTTTAATTTCTATTAAAAAGAGGTGTAAGTTACAACATGAAATCTTTTATTAGTAGAGAGAATTGACATCTATTAAGTAATTATTTTAAAATCTAACACATAATATAAATAATAATAATAATAATTAAAGATTATTACTTAAATTTAAAAAGGAAATTGCTCTAAATGCCCTGAGGTATACCTTAAATAAATACACCTGCTATCATTTTGGAAACACTAATACTACACTCACTAACTTTCTCTCACAAATGCGACATGTCAGCTTATAATTGATTAGCTTGCTATGGGTTTCGCCTGACCAAATACGAACTAACCAATTACGAGCTATCATATCAACGCTTGTGAGAGAAAGTTGTGAAAAGTATTTGTCAACCTATCTTTATTCTTTTGGAAATAGCTTTCAACCCCTTGTCGTTTATCAAGCCATTTACATTTAGTTTTAAGTTAAACAGTTAGGGTAATCGACCAAAAAAGTTATAATTGATAACAATTAAAAAAAAAAAGATTCTTTTTAAACAAAAAAAAAAAAAAAAAATTAAAAAATTAACCCATGAAGAGATTGAAAAGCCCATGAACCAAAAAAATTTACATTCTCAAGAGTCAAAATCTGGGTTTTTGTGGGTGGGTAAGATGAGACCGGAAGAGATTATTCTAATATACCTCGGGGGGTTTATAATAATTTCCTCTAATTTACACAAAGCTGCCCACTTCACTTATCACTATTGTTTCAAAACTAGACCCGTTGTGAGACTCGGCAAGGTGACTGGGTCACGGGTTAATCGGTCCAACTGGTTGGACTGACTGATTAGACCGACGATTCTGCAATAAAAAATATTTTTAAAATAGATTAGCCCCTTGAATTCTAGTGTATTACAAAATACCCCTCAAAATTACCATTAGGCCCTAAAAATTTAATTTATTCAAAATGCCCCCAAAACATAATTAATCCCTATATTTTTATATATTTCAAATACCCCCAAAAAATTATAAAGTAGTCCCTACCAGTTTGAAAAATATCCAAAACCCATCTGCAACCTAAACCAGACTGGAGAGGTTGTCAGGTCCCGATCCAGGTTTTAATATAGAGGTTAAAGTCTCTTGGAAGCCCAAATGACCAAGTAAGCCATAATGTTATTATGGTAGGTGACCTCAAGGTTTGAACCCAATAACTCAAAAAAAAAAAAAAAAAAACAAACCTCCTTAACCGTTAGGCCAACCCCTTAGTGTTAGGAGTGTGGTTTTCAATATCGGTAATATATTATTTTTATAAATAAAACGATTGAAGAAAAATATCGAGAATACTTTTTGCGAAAAAAGCACCCAGCTATATTTTGAGTCAAGCACTGCTTTTTCCCAACTAAAAATTTCTTCTTTCCTTGTACCACGATTATAAACTGTGTAGCTTCATTTGTTGTTAAGATCATATGGGAAACAAGAAGTCGAATTGTAGGCTGTAATCCAAGGCATATTATCTGCCTGTTTCACATGATTATTCCTTGCAGCTCTTCGCCAATTCCGACTGGAACCGTATGTGATGGGCAGAATTAGGAAGGCTAAGGAGAGAAATTATGATATCATCAGGAAGATCGGACCATGAATTCGCCCGGACGCAGCCTACCATCGGAAAACCAATATAAAATCCCTTTTACGTTCAGTTGATTTATGTCTAATACTGCTAACATGGTTGTTGATCGAGTTATTTAGATTTTGTCCTCCAAATTCCTTTTGCTAATATGGATATGATTATGGACAATAAGCAAGTTCTAATAGGAGAACGATTAAAACATAAATAATACGATCTTTTTGCTCCAATGTGTCACTGGGATAATTACTTATTTTCGCCGTTGGGATAATTTGCTTATTTTCTTATCTGAAACGCTTACAGAGGACACGGACATGCAACAGTATTCCAGGTTTTTTGTTTTAGCGTTGAAGGCACACATCGCTGTGACGAAAGTACAGTATAACACTCCATCTACAAATTCTACCTGGTGAATTAAGTTTCCCTATGAACAAATTATCTTGAACTCGGTCCATTTTGATTCTCCAGGTTTAAAATGTAGATAAAAGAAGCATGTTCCGAATAGAAACAAGGCCTGAATATAAATATCAGGCACTCTGTAGAATTCGGAGTTGTAGAGAATGTCCCTCTTGTTCGGTCCAGTTTTGACTGCAGTAATGGAGGCAAATGAATTATCTTATCAGTAAAAGGGTTGTAGGAGAAGACCGAAGTAGACCTTTTGTAGAAAAGCACCCAGCCATATTTTGAATCAAGGATGTATCCTCTACTTGTAAGGCTTTTAAAAACAGTATATTGCTGTTTGTAATAAGGACTGTACAACATGAAGATGAATTGTAGGCCATAATCCATGGCTATTGAACTGCATTTTTCAATACATTAATACCTTCTTTGCAGCTTCTCGCTATCTACGACTTTTTTTCATTAGCGAGCTATTAGGCTTCTGTTGAGTGGGCTTAGCCATATCCGAGTTCCAGAGAAGAAACAAAAGGTTATAACTAAACTGTCCTGTTGTATTGCATAATAGATGAGGATGAATGATGGGATTAAAAAAATATGTTTGCCATTTGTAAATTATCTAAATTTTGAAAAGGTGCTGCTGCTTTTTTTTTTTTTTTTTATTCAACACATGAACTTAAACAATATGAACTTCGTTCCAGAATATGGGAATACTACAAAACAATTGCCATGGTATTGATCTAACTATAACAACATTTTACCACCCTAACATAAGCTTGACAAACTTTAAGATTCAGAGAAAATGGACATTTAATACACAACAGCTGATTGCGAAATTCGGACCTTGGATGAATTTGCTGCAGTGTAGAAACAAAGATTCAGCAGCTGAGGAGATTCACCAGAAAAATTCTGACTTATGTATTTCTTGCTAGCACATCCCTCATCAGTTGTTTTGGTGCTGCAGAACATAGACAAAGCAAATATGATGAGAAGGTGAAAGGGTGAAGTACAGGATTTTAAAAGGTTAAATGTATTCATCTTACCTGGTAATCCGGTGAACCTTTCAACCTGTACAAATGCTTGATTGATGAACATTTCTGTTCCAAAAACAACAATAGCTCCACACTCTTTTGCTTCTTGTAGGAGTCTGGTCCATTTTGGTGTGTAAATGGCATCGAAGACCAATGAGTAGTGTTTGAGAGCTTCCTGGAATTTTGAAGGGAAACAGATGTAAACTTCACCATATGAAACAAGAAAGATAATGGAAAATGGAAAAGTTTACAGGGAGGCAAACCTTTGGCAAGGGACTGTCCTCAATCCTTGGTTTCATTCCTACCGATGTTGTATTCGCAAGAATCATTCCTTCTTCTGGATGGAAATCTTTCAATTCATCAAAAGTGATAGCTTGTCCTCCAACTTTACCGGCAAGTTCTTTGGCTTTCGCTGAAAGAAGAAATTACAAGTCATCTTATGAGCTAGCAAGTAAAATATCAATATCACTCGATAGTGCTCAAGAAAAATGCGCCATTTCAACCATTGAATATCTTTGAATCTTATCATAAACTGGCCTAGAAATACAAAGATATCAAATTTTGTTGTAATAGTATATAAATTAGAGAATCTCACCATATGTACGATTGGCAACTACAACTCTTGCTCCCTTCTCATATCCTCCATAAGCAAGTGCCTTCCCAGCACCGCCAGCTCCCATGACTACAAATAATTTACCAGCTAATGGGGAACCAGATGCAGGGGCACCATTTGATGCTGCACAAAGAAGTAGTTAGTTAAAAACCTTGAAGGTACATACCAAAAAAAAAAATTAAATTAAATAATTTGATTGTAAAACAAACCCATAACACACCTCGTAATGCCTCTTCAATAGCTGCAATAGCTCCAAGGTAGTCAACATTGTAACCCATCAACTTCCCATCAGTTGGTCTTCTGATCATACAACTAATGGCTCCTATTTCCTGTAAAAGATTTGATGTTAAAGATTAAATTAAACATGCTGAAGCAATGAACAGACATGTTGGGCTCATTATAGCACATGTAATCAACATTTGAAATTATAAAGAGAAAATTGATTAGATACCTTGGCAATGGGATCGATCTCATCACAGCACCTAAGTCCATCCTCTTTGTGAGGAATTGTATAACTGCATATTAAGAAAGAAAGTTATATACATTGACAAAGAAAGCAGATGTTGTGACATCTCAGGGAACTTAAAGGAACAAAATGTATGCTTCAAAGATCATTCAGAAAATCAACATTGTGCTTTATTTATCATCTTCTAAGTTCTTCATTGTTCGAAACTAAATCATTTCAAAACCTTAAAATCAGCTGCAAAAGCAACTGAACTTTTGCTAAGAATTCCAGTACTGGTTGCATTCTGTAGATACTGGACTTAACATATAATGTAATGCTGAAGTTTCAAAAAGGACTCCAGGAGATGTTACCTGTATCCAACAAAGTCGGGGGTTGAGTAAGTGTTGATAAAATTAGCAACACTATCAACCAACAATGGTAGATATATTCCATTAAATCCGAGGGCCCGAAATGCAGCGTTGTAAAGATGAGGACTTTTGCTATGGCCAATAGGTTTTCCGATAACTCCATGTACTTTTGTATCAGCAGCTATCTGTCTGAAATTGTATAAATCCAGCAAGTCCATAATAGTTGGTTGCCCAGGGGCAGAAAACTTTCCTGCCTCTATTGAACCGAAAGTGAGAAATCCCCCATACTTGGCAGAAAGTATCCGTGACATCAAACCCCTTTCAGCCATAGCAATTGCTATTGTTGGGACCTGCAAAATTTTGGTTAAGTGTCAGTCATTACATATATCTAAAAAAGAAAGTCAAAGAAAGGACTTCAAAAAGGCGAAATGATTTGTCATGAAATATTCTTACTTGAGAGTGAACTAAAACTTGAAAGATTCTTGCATTGTCTGTGATCTCTAAAGCTGTTGTTGCAACCTTCACGATGTCAGCTCCTGTAGCCTGTATTATAGCTACAAGATTGCCAATCTCCTCAACTGTTGGAGTATTTTCATAATTGTGGGATGAAACAATGATTTTGACTTTTTCAGGCCTCTTCCCTATGGCATTGTAGAACTCTTGAGCTACCTTCAAGAGGCAAAATTGGAAGCTTTAGTTAGATAATCACTAAACTGTCATGGAAAAACCAATGTTTACACTCAACCACTGATAGTTTTGAACAAAAATACCAACCTTGAGCTCAATATCAATGAAGTCTGCTCCCAATTCCATGGCCAAACGCAGTGCATCTTGTCGTTGGCTTTCGTTGCCATCATACTCACCGCCTTCCCATTTTGGTCTAAAAGGTGCATGATCCATAAACATTTAATATCTAAATTTTCACATAACATAAGAAGAGGACTTGAATATTTCTTATTTATGAAACCTAAATGTTGATATGAAATGCTTAGCATAGTATCACTCTGCCAAAAGAAGAACCTATAAGGCCAAGAGCTAACCGGATTTGAACTTTATCGATCACAGGAACTCTTATGCCAAAACTGTTAGCTTTCTGCCCCAAATGTTGAATAACAACTTCAGGATTCATGTACAAGCTAAAGTTTGATCCTAAAATATGACTACACTTTTTGCTGAGTTACTTCACTAAAGCTTATGAGTTGAAATTAATGTTTTCTGTTTTCTTCAGACTAGAGAAACATTACGAATCAAAAGAAGTTTCCTTTCAGAGCCTCAATTTTGCATTTTCTATCCGCAGAAAACTCTACCAATAATTGGGTCTAATTGAACTATTTGACTGAGTCAAATTGAGATTTTCATTCTATGCAAATCCAGAAAGGTAAAAATAAATAAAACCCCATAAATTCTTCTTCTCCTTTATCTCAATACATTTTAAAATCAACATACAAGGCATAGCCCAAACTCAATAGAGATTCTCAACCTTAACCCACCAAAATCAAAACTTCATTTCAATTCAAACACCGAAAAAGAACATATACTTTAAATGAATGTGCCATTACCTGTAAGTGATAAGAGTAGGCAAAGGAGCTTGTTTGATCAAGATACTGAGATCACTTCTAGGACTAAAATTCTTCAAAAAATCAATGCGAACCTCAACGAGGTCAGCACCTAATTTTTTTGCCTTTCCCATTTGAACAAGCATCTGATCAACTGTTTCCGCCATTACCGGGGCACATATCATTGTCGAATTTTTTCTACCTCCATCCACAATTTTAAGATCCGTAGTAGCCAACTAAAGTTCACCATGATAAACAACACACAAAGTTATAACTCGTTCAACAAACTTAACCGAGATAATAAACAATTTCTATTTCTAAGAGTTTCAGAACCTTGAGCTAGAAATTAATGCATTTCACTTCAAATGATAAACCAACAATTAGAGTAAAGAACTTTCACATTTCCCTTCAGAAGACCCCAAAACTTTCTTTTCCTTTCATACATTTTCTCAGCAACCAAACAGTAAAGGGTGAAAATTCACAAAACCAAAAAAAAAAAAAAAAAATGTTACCGGAACGCTGCCGAGAGTCATTGTGAGAGAAGATGTTGCGGTTTGGTTTGGTTCAGTTCTTGCTTTGTTAAGAAAGAGAGAGAGAGAGAGAGGGCGAATGAGCTTGTTGGGGAAGAGTTAGGTAGTGAAATATGAAAGGAACAGAGAAGAAGAGAAGCTTTTATAAGCTCTCTGTTCGTTATTGTGTTCTGCTACTCCTACTTGTAGGTATCAACGTTCCTTATTTTTAAACTTTTATGTAGACCGTTAGCTGGTTTCATTTCTTGGGCTTATTATTTCATAACATGAAAAATATTATTAATAATTTTAAAAATATATAATTAATTTACATATTCCTTTTATATTCAAAACAGTTGAATTACAATTTACAACTAACTCTCAAAGATTTCTTTTGGAAAAATTGATCCGTCCTTTTGTGTTTTAGTTAGGGATTCTTTAGAGGGCAATACAACATTACATTTACAACTTAATCTAATAAATTTTTTCTCACAATCTCGACGTGATAGTTTATAATTGCGAACTGACCGATTACGAACTAACACATTAGGATTATGAGAAAAAGTTATTGTAAGGTTAGGTTATAATGTAATCTTTATTATTCTTCAAATAAGGCCTTAAATACATCGGAAAATTATTAAAAAATAAATAGAATTTTGATTATATCTATATTTCATTTATCAGAAAAAAATACATATTTTATTATTAATATCATAAAAAAAAATTATTTTTTTGGTATTAATTTGTGCCCATAAATAAATGTTACAACTACTCCTTAAGAATATCATATTTATGTACATTTCATTTGTAATTTTTATTTATCTAATTTTCCTTATGTTATTAATAAAACCCCTAATTCTACTATAAACAATGTCTTTTTCACAAATATGAGAAATATACTATAAAATGTTTAAAGTATTTTTTTACAATTAAAAACATAACAAAAGAAGAAATATTTATATAATTCATTGGTACATAAAAGAAAGACACTGAATTTTAGTGATATATTATTATATAAATAATTCATCTCCAATAATATATCTATTATCAGTGATGTACTCAAATAAGAGTAAGAATTCTCTCCGGAAAATAGAAAAATAAAAAAAATTACACCTTTTAAGATGTTAAAAAATACAAAAAAAAAAAAAAAAGAAGAAGAAAATAAATATCATTAAAATAAGTAGACAAAATTAATTAGAGAGAGATCAACTAACTTTGCGAGAATTGTAATCGGCAATTAATCGGCGGAGTTAGGTGAGTTTGGCGCCAGGCCTGCCCCGGTGGGTGAGTTGAAGTTTGTTTTACCAAATTGTCCTCTTTTATTTTGACTTTGTACCTAATTTTGGACCTACGGCTTTAAATCTTTGATTCATTTGTCTGCCACTTTTTTTATTTTTTTATTTTTACCACAAAATTCATCCAAAAAAGAAAGTTAGCTAGATGCCATTATTTTAATTTAATAAAAAAAATCTGTTAATCTATTTAACAATTGTAATTATCTAATTTGTCAGACACCTTTTCTATAAAATCCATCACACAACTTCTTTTTCATTTGTTTTTAAACCTCTCTTCCTCTATTTTACTAAACTATTAAATTAAAAGTAATTTTCTTTTTATATTTCTTCATCAATACAATTTTCTCAAATCAATAATATGGATAATTTTCTTTTCATATATATTTAAAAATGTTGCTAATCCACCGAAAAATAATTTTTTATTACAATCCAATGTAAATATATAAACATAATAAATTTTTTAAATTTTTTAACGTATAAATTGAGAACGAACATCTAACCCTTACTTTTGATTGTAAGATTTGTGAAGTGAGCATAAAAAATGAATAATTTACATGATAAAAATTTCGTAACATCTCTATTAGAGATTTTTAATATATATGGTTAGAATAAAACTAATTTCTAATTTCATCGTAAATGTTTTGAAATTTTTAATCCTTAAGACTAGTATATATTAAAAAAAAAAAATTAATATATAACTTATATGGAAATCATGCTAACATTCTGGTATAAATTTGAAAAGGGGCGTAGAAGTTTTGTTTGGAAAGTCGGATATCCAACTTTCCAAGCTTTTATTATTATTATTATTTGAGAATTAACGTATCAATAATACTATACTTACAAAGAAATCTTACAAAGATTTTCATACAAAGTGAGGTGACAAAAAATGAATGGAAGAGTGAAACAAAAAGTCAAACTCATTAAATTTACTCTTCCATTCATTTTTTGCTATATCACTTTGTATGAAAATTTTTGTAAAATTTCTTTGTAAGTGTAGTATTACTCTTAATGTATGTTTAATCTCAATCTATCTGCCCGCTTATTATAATAGTGTACTTGTACATCTTCAACACAATCAAGAAAAAGAGGATCAACTAATTAAAGAAATATTATATTCAGCATAATAATATATGACAATAGTGCAACTACAAATCTTAACCCAATTTGTTTAAGTTAACAGATAGATCAGATTTTATGAAATAAGCTTTCTACAATTTTCAGTCTTTTTTTTTTTTTTTAAATATAGGAGTCTACTTAAAGTAACAGTCAACCGGATAAAAAGGAAGAAATTTTATATATAATTCATATCACCATGTTTTATTTCCCATTTAAATAACAAGTTATGATCTTATTTATTAGGTGTATAGACTTGCAAACTGTTTTGTTTATTTATTATTTTAAATTAAATTCCGATATATGTGTTTAATTAGTCAATTGCTCCTTCAAAATTGAAAATAAGGATTATTATTTAAACTATCCGAGGTTTGTCCCATTCAGATATCAATAATAATGTGAAACCCCTTATCGTTAGAATATTTTCATTAGAATATTGCTTAGAACTGGCCATTTCTAGCTAAATCCATGGCCATTTAGCCGTTTTCGGTCATTAATCTAGTCGAAAACAGTCAAATCAGCGACAATCAGTCGTGCGCTGTTCTAGCAATTATTGATAGCTGATAGTGGCTTGGGTGGGTGGGGGTGTTTTTATAAAAATTTAAACCTTTATTGTTGCTGTGGTGTTTTAACAAAATCTCAAATGTAAGGGGTTAAAGAAATAATCCAATTAATAATAATAATATTAAAAAAGAAAAGTAATTCGATAACTTATATAATATACCCACCAATTTAACCAAACACGTTTAATCTAACATTTTGGTAGCATTTGGTTTCGGCAATGTTTATTACTGAAAAGATAAGATTACCAGTGAGATGGATTACCTTAAAGATTATTAGGGATATTAATATGTTTGGTTAGATTGATGGGTATAAATAATTAATATGTTTAGTTGGGAGAAATAAAAAATTATCGAGAGAAGCCTTTACTAAATTGCCCTTCCTTTTTAATATTATTATTATTTAGAGTATTACTTAACCCCTTATATTTGAGAATTTAGTTAAAACACCCCACACACACAATATATTTTTAAAATTTAACAAAATACCCCCAACCACCCAAGATGATTACTAGCCGCCAGAGGAAGTTACCGAAACGGTGCACGATCAACTGAATCTGGCCGACCATGCGTCAATGTAGCCGAAAATAGCCAGATCGAAGGCCATTTAACCATTTCCAACCTTCAATCTGACCGAAAATGGCCATATTGGCGCATGGTCGACCACATTTGTCTGATCGTACGCTATTTCAACAACTGCCAGCACTGACCAATGGTGGTGGCCTATAGTCGTCTTGGGAGGTTGGGGGTATTTTGTTTAATTTTAAACTTTTATTGTGTGTGGTGTTTTAGCTAAATTCTCAAATGTAAGGGTTTTGTGGTAATTGTTATTTGGTAGACATATGAGGGTATCTGTGTCCAAAATGTTTATTAATTAAGGGTAAAACGGGAACAAAAATTGGATTATGTCAATAATAAAAGAATAACACCCCTTGAGTTGATAATCTGATTACCTCCAATATTACCTACAGTAATCACTATTGATATTGAAAGATTAGTAAAATCTTTTATTACTTAACAATTGAACAATGGAATGTCCAGAATCAAAGATAGATTACCAAGGTTATTTTCCTAGACCCCTAACCAAACGCAACCTTCCAGTAATCTTCAAGGTAATCTATATTCCAATTAATATAATATTCTCAATAATACAATATTCCTTAAACCAAAGCACCCAAAGGGTTTATATATTTAACCAAATCTCAACGGTTTTGATAATAAACCATTAAAAATAAAAATAATTTTTTGGGGCCTTCAAATAGGGATGGGCTTAGGCCGAGGCAGGGTAGGGATCCCATTCCCTAGCCTCATCCTCGACCCCTAGGGATTCACTAAGCTCGGCCCATCCCTAGGGTTAGGGATGAAGGGGGATCTTAGGCCTAGCCCGCGGGGATTGGGTTGACCCCAGTCTCGCCCCGATCAACGAGGTCAATGGGGTCAGCGGTTATGATGGGCTTTAGGATTCTTGACTCTGGGTTGGGTTAGGGCTTTGATGGGCTTTAGGATTATTGACTGTGGGCTGGGTTGGAGCCTTAGGCTTTTTATTTTTTTTAAAGTACATTAACATTTGTATCTAATTTTTAGAAGTACAAAGGTTTTTATTTGAATACAAAAACATCTATTATTAAACATTTGTATATGACTTCACTCAGTGTTCCCACAATTATAATCACATTTGATCAATTAACAGTGTGAAGATAATAATTATTAAAGTGGTAATTTCTTGATAAATGTGATTTTCTTTTAGAAAAGAATATGAATAGGAGAATTTCAAGCAAAATTACTAGTTACAAATATTATTTAAATGAAATGTCACAAATTAATTATAATATGTAGTAAGACTTGTTAGATATAATTCATGATCAATTATAATATGTAGTAAGATTTGTTAGATATAACATTAGTAACTTGTTAGATATGTAGTAAAATTAGATATTAGAATTTAGAAAATATTATTGTCTAAAATTAAATATTAGACTTATGTGATACAATTTATTGTGTCTCTCTATCTTTATAATACACATAAAGTTCCTCATCATTCTTTTAATTAATTGGTAATTTTAATTTACAACAATTTTAATTTGTTCTTGTATAAAGTTCCTACTCCTTCTTCTAATTAATTTGTTTAGTTTGGTTCATTGATTAATTTTCAACTATTCAAATTAAGACAAGATTAACAAGATTTATCGAATATATATAAGATTGCTTAGAAAATATCTTATATTAATTTTTTTTAATAAAACGATATTATGTTATTTTAATGCAATGTAATAATAATAATAATAATAATAATAATAATAATAATAATAATAAGAACAATAGTATAATTCCTAAGAAAATTTGCTTAAGACAATTGCCCAGCCCACCTGAAAACAAGTTATGATGGGTTTATATAGCACCCGTTTCCATGATAGAGTTGAGATAAAATTCAAATACGTAGAATTAGGAAGTTACATGATCTTCGACTACTTTAAGAGCATTGCTCGATCAGAAAGCATAGAGAGTTTAATCTGAGAGCATAGCTTGATCAAAAAGCATGGAGAGTTTGATCAGAGAGCATAGCTCGATCAGAAAGCATGGAGAGCTTGATCTGAGAGCATTGGTCGATTAGAAAGTATAAAGAGTTTGATCTGAGAGCATAGCTTGATCAGAAAGCATGAAGAGCTTGATCTGAGAGTATAGCTCGATCAGAAAGTATGGAGAGCTTGATCTGAGAGTATAGCTTGATCAGAAAGCATGGAGAACCTGATATGAGAGCATAACTCTATCAGAAAGCATGGAGAGCTTAATATGAGAGCATAGCTCGATTAGAAAGCATGGAGAGCTTGATCTAAGAGCATAGCTCGATTAGAAAGCATGGAGAGTTTGATATGAAAGCATAGCTTGATCAGAAAGTATGGAGAGCTTGATCTGAGAGCATTGCTCGATCAGAAAGTGTGGAGAGCTAGAGAGCTGGCATGAGAGCTCGATAGCTTGGGAGCTAGAAATCTAGCTTGAGAGCTTCATAGCTTGAAAGCTCGAGAGCTCGAGTGCTAGAGAGCTAGCTTGAGAGCTCGATAGCTTGGGAGCTAGAGAGCTAATCAGCTAAGCTTGAGAGCTCGATAGCTTGGGAGCTTGGGAGCTCGATAGCTTGGGAGCTAGAGAGCTAGCTTGAGAGCTTGATAGCTTTGGAGCTAAGAGCTTGACAACTAAAGAGCTAGCTTGAGAGTTCGATAGCTTGGGATCTAGAGAGCTAGCTTGAGAGCTCGATAGCCTGGGAGCTTAAGAGCTCAATAACTTGGGAGCTCTAGAGCTTGAGAGCTAGCGAGCTCTTTCTAATCTAAGAAATCTGAGCGCGCGATCTAAGCGATCTAAAGTTGAAGATCAAAGTGATCCAAGCCCATGATATGAGCGATCTGGCCACGCAATCTGAGAGCTCTGATTTGGAACAGGCTTTAGTATTTGGACAATAACTTGAGCTGCAGATCTCAAATTTTCTTCGGCTCAGGTCCATCCCGATCCCCGACTCTTTCAAGGAATCCTTGGCCTGTTCGAGGCGGGTTGGGGCAAACACCCATCCCTACCTTCAGAGCTGCTACTTCACTTAAGAGCAACGGGGCGGCCTGGCGCTTTAGTGAACAACTTGTCATATAGCTAACATTATTGAACCACACATCATGTAACTAGGATTCACAAGGAGGACAAGTCGTTTATAGTCAACAGATGACGAGTCGTTCAACTAGAAAGCCCAAAAGATGGCAGTCGTACTAAAGTCTTTTAAAGAAATGACAGATCGTTCAAAAGAAAAGTTGTTCTTCCATTCCATATTCAATTTTTATTAATACAACAACATAACTTAACAGCTACTCCTATAATGCAAAATTTTAAACACTTTAGCTTTGATAGAAACAGACGATTTTCAGCAAAAACGAAGCACATTCCCTCTTATGCATGTTTCTCCATGAGTTGCCTAAACAATTCTTCTGGAGCTGCAATTGAAAATGAAACAAAACCAATGAATTATTATGGACTAAGAGCTGACTCTTTTAATTCTGTTTTTAACAAGTTTGGTTCAATCATAACTTACCAGGCAAACCAGTGAAGTTCTTGTATTGTTCAAAGCCTTGGCGGATCAACATTTCTGTCCCATAAACAATGACAGCTCCTGTCTCTTTTGCCTCCCTCAGGAGCCTGGTGTCTTTTGGCGTGTAAATGGCGTCGAATACTAAGCAATAATGTTTCAGGGCATGCTGCAAAGAAGTAGAAACATTAGAGTCAAATACTATGTTTATCAGTGTCAATTAAATCAATGACATTGATGAATAACAGAGAAAGGAAGGAATTTGGAATACCTTGGGCAAGGGGGTTTCATCAATTTTAGGCTTCATTCCCACAGATGTAGTGTTTGCAAGAACCATTCCTTCTTCAGGATGGAAATGCTCCACTTCTTTAAGAGTCATAGCTTTTCCCCCGACTTTGTCAGCGAGTTCTTTAGCTCTTTCTGCACATTATCACCCAGTTACAAAATTTCATCGAGAATAGAACCCAACTCAAATGTTGTAACACAATGATAGAATGTTACCAAATGTGCGATTGGCCACGACAACTCTTGCTCCCTTTTGTGCACCACCATAGGCAAGTGACTTGCCGGCACCACCAGCTCCGAGAACAACAAGTAGTTTACCAGCTAAGGGTGATTCAGTTCCAGGAGCTTTTCCGTTTAATTCTGTTGAATGAAAACATAAGTCAGAAAGCTGAGAGAGAAGTTTCTTAAGATGGATCCAACTCTAGTGAACATGGTTGCAACCTCTTAGTCCATCCTCGATAGCAGAAATGGCACCGATGTAGTCAGTGTTAAAAGCATACAACTTCCCGTCCGGTCTATGGCAAATGTTATTGATGGCTCCAATTTTCTGAAAGAAGAAAGGAATCAATCATTAAATTTTACCTGCAGGTGCAAACATCAAGTTCTGGGGAAAATGTCAATGAATATCGCAGAGTGAAAACAAATTTAATACCTTGGCAATGTGATCAATATCATCCATGCATTTAAGTGCAGCTTCCTTGTGAGGGATTGTACAGCTGCATTAGCAAGTGAAATACTATTAATTCGCATGTCGAAAAACTAGCGCAATGAAATTATAAAGAAAAATATGCAAAAGGAAATTAGACCTGCATCCACCAAAATCAGGGGTTGAATAGGTGTTGAAAAACTTTGCCACATCATCCACTAGGAAATGAAGATAAATTGCATTCA